GACACACGTTGGATAAGGCGACCAAAGCGAAGGTACACCTCGAGAACTACTACTCCAATCTCATCACTCAACACATTGAACGCAGGAACAGGTTAGACACCAGTCATGCCATACATCCCATACATGCTATACATCCCATTCATGCCATTCATGCCATACATCCACTCGTGTAATGGTCTCGAAAGAGCTCAAACACGGACTCACAACACATACACTGTTATTATGACTAAATATATTCGCTAATTAATAATCAGTCCTAACATTGATCTTATCTCTGCTTTTATTTTTACATTTGACTCCAATTTATAAATAATACTAATTATATAGAAATTGTTTAGAAGTAATGCTCTTAAGTCACGAAAACTATTGTATTCAACGAAAGTAAACTCGAAATCTCGAGAACCACTTGTTTATGAAACGCTAATTGCCTGTTGAATATAATTAACTAATTTTGCTAAACACTTAACAATGTTTTGATTGAATATCTATTGTATTTAAAATTGATGTTAAATTTACAAGGAAGAGATGGGATGCAGATTTAGAAAAGGGTTGGCAGTGTGTGAGCCTTATGATGAATATTATAGAATTAGATTTAGATTATATTAAAATTTTAAAATAATAACATTTTTCAGAAAATATGTATTCATTTGATTTAGATTTCGATAAAACATTTTATTGTAAGAGTATATACGCTAAAAATATACCGTATATTCGGCTTTAATTCATATTAAAACTTCATAATCTCTCCCTCCCTTTCCTAAATTATTATTAAACTTTTTATTTATAAACAAATTATTTTATAACTTTTTAAACAAAATTCAATGTAATATCTAATGAGTGTTTTAGTGATAGTAATGATAATCTGTGGCACTTTATAGCAAGAAGTGGTCACTTAAGGGATTATGTTTTTGCTTTGTTTTTATGAGCGTATAATTCTGAAACTTAATGTTTGCCATAAAATGCATTAAAGATTTTTGCCTCAAAACTCATTTAACTTAATGTATGTTTTCAGACACGAAAGACTAGAAGAAACGATGAGAGATGAGGGCTTGACTGAAGAACAGGTCTGTCCGACCATTAATTTGATGGCAATTCTTATGTTTTACTCAAATATTGTTTAATCCGATTCATCAGAAACAAGAGAAACGGGTTCAGCACGCGATTAAAGAGACGGAGTTTCTTAGACTTAAGAGATCACGTCTAGGCGTTGAAGACTTTGAACCATTGAAAGTGATCGGAAGGGGAGCTTTCGGAGAGGGTTTGCATTATTTTGTCATTTATGATATAGTCATCTCTGGTTTATTTATTTGATTTGTTTGAATTGAATGAATGAACAGTACGTCTGGTGCAGAAGAAGGACACGGGACACGTGTATGCCATGAAAATACTGCGAAAGGCAGACATGTTGGAGAAGGAACAGGTGGCACACGTGAGGGCAGAGCGCGATATTCTGGTTGAAGCCGATCATCAATGGGTCGTCAAAATGTATTATAGCTTTCAGGACGTTATGAATCTTTACCTCATTATGGAAGTCAGTAATTGATTGATTGGAATCTATGGAGCATTCCTAATGTATGGCTGATTGTATGTACAGTTCCTCCCGGGCGGGGATATGATGACACTCCTCATGAAGAAGGACACACTGACCGAAGAGTGCACTCAATTCTATATCGCGGAGACGGCGCTGGCCATCGATTCCATTCATAAGTTAGGATTCATTCACAGAGACATAAAACCCGATAATTTGCTTTTAGACGCGAGGGTCAGTCATTATCTCATTATCATTATCATTATCTCTGTAATTGAATTATTTTGTGCTTAATTTATTGAAAAATGTTTATTTTGTCGCTTTAGGGACACATAAAACTGTCTGACTTTGGTCTCTGTACTGGCCTTAAGAAGTCACACCGAACTGAGTTCTATAGAGACTTATCGCAAGCAAAACCCAGTGATTTCACCACAAATCCGATGGACTCTAAACGCAGGGCCGAGAGTTGGAAGAAGAATAGGAGACAATTGGCTTATTCTACGGTTGGAACTCCTGATTATATCGCACCCGAGGTCTTCATGCAAACGGGATATGTTTCGAGGTATTGCTCCCATTCACCCATTTGTGCACTACTTTTCCATTTACCTTATATTATATTTAAAGCGCCGACTGGTGGTCACTGGGAGTCATAATGTATGAGATGCTTATCGGATACCCGCCGTTCTGTTCGGAGACACCGCAGGAGACCTACAGAAAAGTGATGAACTGGAGGGACACTCTTGTCTTCCCACCCGAAGTGCCCATCAGTAATGAGTCGCGAGATATGATTCAGAGATTCTGTGCCGAAGCGGACAAACGTATCGGTTCGGGGGCTGGCATTGAGGAGATCAAAGAGCACTCGTTTTTTAAGGTATATTACAAATATTTGTTTGGATTTAAAATAATTGAAAGATTTATTGCTTTTTTGTTACATAAAATAGGGCGTCGATTGGGAACACATTCGGTAAGTGTTTGGTTTGAATTAGCGGTGAATATGGAAATGAATTATCTATTGATGCGATTATAGAGAACGTCCGGCAGCCATACCAGTGGAAGTGAAATCCATTGACGACACCTCTAACTTTGATGACTTCCCTGACGTCGATCTCAAAATACGTAAGTTTTGTAATATTTGGATGTTTCGTGTGTTTTGTTTAATTGAATACCATTTATGTGTTGAATCGATAGCTTCTGCGCCGACCAAAGAGCCCGAAACGACTGGTTTGAAAGATTGGGTTTTCATTAACTATACGTTCAAAAGATTTGAAGGATTGACTCAAAGAGGGAATAAAACTCCGCGAAAAAGTTAAGAAGAAATGACATCTCAAATGAATGGCTATTCTTATACCTTATGAATGAAGTAAATTGAAGGCATTGTCTGAATGGATATCACTGTTTGTTTGGAGCGCTTGACTTAACTTTCATTTAATTTATTAATCGTCTCTTTATGTTTAAACACAACTTCAGTACAATTTTTTTATTTAATTTTCAAAATCTAGTCATGAGTTCTGCTTATAATTTGGATTTTATATAAAAAGCATAACTAGAGAGACATTCCCTTTGATTTCCATCTGAAGCGTCCGCTCACTCAACAGTGTTTTGCATTTATAGTTATATTTGCCATAAATTATGAGACAATTGTTAATCAATTGATACAAACATTTGGTTGAATAGGAAAATTGTAATATTTCTCTGTATATTATAACTTAATTCGTTAGCAAATAGTTATTTATGTTTATATTAAATTACAATCATATTTAAAGCAATAAAAATAAAATTGTTTTTAATACAAAATAATGGATTTATTTTGTGTGCAAATAAATTAGAGTTAAAACAACAATAATTGAATATAAATTAAGTAAAGAAACGCTTAAAAAAGAATAAATTATATATCAATATATAAAAATGGATTTAAATCGACAATTAAATGAATGAAATAAATAATTTGAATGAATAAAGAGTATAACAATTGATTCAAATGTATGACGAATTGTGCCGTTTGTTGAGAATGTAGTTAACGAGACATAATTGACTAGTTTTTCTGAAGTAATCCACACATCGTATCGTTTATTATATTATACACTATTAACATATAATATAACAACAATTACTCTATTGATCATAATCGTTGAACCCAGTGACCGGGATCACTGTTTTTGCCAATTTATCTCTCGTCAGAAGTTTATCGAAATAATTAGTTTTGAAGTAATGGTCGCGTTTTCGACGTCTCCCACTGTGCATAAGAATTGATACATTAATTAACCTGGTTAACTACAAATATGGAATATAATGCATACATTTTAGCAGGGTCAATCAGCCCGTAAGCAACAGGGGTTCGAGTCCTTAAATTCTCGCGCAATCTCTTCAGCTCCAGAAGTGTTTCCAATTCGGCGAGTCTTTGATCAGAAATTCCACTTCTTTTCTCTCTGTTCACAACAATCAATACATCCAAACAGTTATTACTATGAATTCATTTTTAACATTATAAAAGTTTTCATAATTGTTACCATTTATACAGCACTTAGAGTTATATCTCATGAGTCCTCAACATCTCTCTCTTTCTCTCTCTCTCTCTCTCTCTCTCTTTCTTTCTTTCTCTCTCTCTCTCTTCTCCTCAAAATAATACTAATATTTTTATGTAATTGAATTATTTTGTTGAAAATACATTATTGTATGATTAAATGTTGTTTTATACGCGTGTAAAAATTGTGTAAAGAACATTTTACCCTTAACGTAAATCATAATTCACATAATAAACCATAAGTATTTTATTTATTATACAATATAATATTAACTATTACTTCAAATTCTAAGTAAAATATATGATATATTAAAAACAAAATCTACAAGTATTCTACAGAATTAGTTAGTGTTTTAACTTTGTACACCTTGTATTAATATTATATTAGGTTACATAAATCAGAATTAAATTCAATATCATGAATTCAAATAAACTGTTAATTAATAATCTGTAAATAGAATATTTATTCAAATGGTGTAACATTTGATACCAATTGAGTAGGAATAGGATGACACTAATATAGTCATGAATTTGGGTGTTGAGAGGACATACACATCATAAGTGGTGTTTAGGCCTACACTTAATATACTGTACGTCAGCGGTACACACGAACTCATATTCCTATATATATATAGGATATTCTGTCTATTCATGAATTTATTATGAATTGCGAAAATAATATACTCTGATGATGCTATAAATCCATATTAATTGTCACAACAAACAAAACATTTAAATTGATGGCTACTTGTCCCCTATCTTTCTATCCATTTCTAAATGAAGTTAATTATAAATTTTCCAAAAAATAATCGTTAGTTTTTGATAGTTTTTGGTAGTATTACTAATTATACTGTATTTGATTAACAGAATTAATGCAAACAATGTATGTTTGTGTCAATATTACAGAATAAGTTTTACAACTTTTATTGCTCTCTATTCTATACAATCAGTTTCAATAGCAAATAGCATATCATTAGTACAATAGTTATTGAAAAACCTAATGAAGACTTTTCACGTCTGAATGAATGAATTAAATAATTTGATTAAAGCAAAAATAACTGTAAATATGAGTCATATAATGGTTAAACACAGCGATTGTAAGATTAATTGAATTGTCTTTCAGTGATATGAAGAATATAGACGTCATTCAGCGCTTAAAATCATTTTGGTTAACATTTAAGACTTCAAATTGTTGTCTAATATTAAATCTATGAATCATCGAAATATTATGAGGTTAATATTTATGCTAAGTGTTTGTTTATAAAAGTTTGACTACTGTTTAAATATGTTGTAATCAATGAATGAATGCACCAAACGATAGGAAGGTGCCAAAGATAGTGTGAAAAAATGTAAATATTGTGCCGAAAAGTGTCAGAATATTCTGAGAAGAACTCGGAATTTGTCTAATATTGACAGTATGTGTGGGAAAAGTTTATTCATACAAATATTCAAACTATTTGTTAAAATAATTTAATTTCAAAGAAATAGCTTCTGAATGTTAATGATCTCTATTTTAGTCCACAGAATAATGTCATTTGCTATCATAGGCTTTATTAATAAATTATTTATTATTATAAGATCACAACTATATTTTTCAATCAATTCTCATCAATGGATTCATTAGTCAAAGGATGAGATTCTTACAGCAAATCTATTTATTATACGATTCGTATGTATTATACGAATATATAAAGTAATGAATTATTTTTCAGACTAACGTATGATATAATATAGGGCTTACGACCACTGATTTGCGAGTCTTTCACAACATTTTGCATTAAAATAGAGTCGAAATAAAGTCCACAATTTATATTTGCTTTTAAAATAATGTCTGTTGCGATGATTAATGACATTAATTAATAAGAATTAAAAATATCATTTAATATTGTTTATATATACAGTATATTCATTAACAAAAGGTTATATGAAAATTTAATTAATTTTTAAAAAATGTTTCTAAAATTTCTGTTTTCCGTGAATTCATCCCAAAGTGACACGAATTGTCACATTTAGAGCTATAATTCATTATTTCACAAATTCCTGTCTTTAGGCAACGAAAGGCTTATTTTTGATATAAATTTAGAGAATTTTTTGAATATCAAAATAATGTTTATTTTTAGTGTTTGTTTCGATTAAATTGAGCGAAAAGTGCATTATTTCTTTAAATCCTATAATATTTTGTTTTCGAAAAAACAATAAAATTTTTCAATTGCTTCAAGAGTTTAAGATTATTGTTAGACATTTGGAGACAATTTCTCACTCATCGCCTAAATGTAGGATTTGTTGCCACTTTAGAGACCTCCAGCACAACCCACACGACCCCCCATTCACATCAATCAATGAAAATGCAATACATATTTAAATGATCTGATCTACAAGTCTGTTGAATACTGTCTATTAGTTTCAAATCTAATCTCATTATTGATAGCAATATACAGAGTATGCCTCCAAACGATGTATACATCAAATGGAGTTCCGCTCACTTTCTTCATAATTAAGATCGACTTAAGGCGACGAACAAAAGAAATGCTATTTTATCGCAAATGTCATCTAAAATATAAAATCTAAATACTTCTTGTGTTTGACATCAATATTTGACAAATGAATGATATGTTTAATGAAAGCAACATTTCATTATAATTAAGTTATAGAAAACGCAATCCATTCACGAACTTTACTATTTGTATTTGTATTATAATAATGAAATTATAACATAAATAATAGGAGATTAATCTTTTTCGTGTTGCATGTTTTGAACAAATCTATTTTATTTTTAAAAACAAAATCGATATTTACTTATAAATACAATTTATAAAGTATTATTATTATTACTGTACATAAACACCTCTTTCATATACTGGCAACAAGTCCATCATATAATAAACATCAATATTTTTCAATTAGTTTTACACAGAATAATGTCATTTGCTATCATAGGCTTTATTAATAAATTATTTATTATTATAAGATCACAACTATATTTTTCAATCAATTCTCATCAATGGATTCATTAGTCAAAGGATGAGATTCTTACAGTAAATCCATTTATTATACGATTCGTATGTATTATACGAATATATAAAGTAATGAATTATTTTTGAGACTAACGTATGATATAATATAGGGCTTACGACCACTGATTTGCGAGTCTTTCACAACATTTTCCATTAAAATAGAGTCGAAATAAAGTCCACAATTTATATTTGCTTTTAAAATAATGTCTGTTGCGATGATTAATGACATTAATTAATAAGAATTAAAAATATAATTTCATATTGTTTATATAATACAGTATATTCATTAAGCAAAAGGTTATATGAAAATTTAATTAATTTTTAAAAAATGTTTCTAAAATTTCTGTTTTCCGTGAATTCATCCCAAAGTGACACGAATTGTCACATTTAGAGCTATAATTCATTATTTTACAAATTCCTGTCTTTAGACAACGAAAGGCTTATTTTTGGTATAAATTTAGAGAATTTTTTGAATATCAAAATAATGTTTGTTTTTTAGTGTTTGTTTCGATTAAATTGAGCGAAAAGTGCATTATTTCTTTAAATCCTATAATATTTTGTTTTCGAAAAAACAATAAAAATTTTCAATTGCTTCAAGAGTTTAAGATTATTATCAGACATTTGGAGACAATTTCTCACTCATCGCCTAAATGTAGGATTTGTTGCCACTTTAGAGACCTCCAGCACAACCCACACGACCCCCATTCACATCAATCAATGAAAATGCAATACATATTTAAATGATCTGATCTACAAGTCTGTTGAATACTGTCTATTAATTTCAAATCTAATCTCATTATTGATAGCAATATACAGAGTATGCCTCCAAACGGAGTTCCGCTCACTTTCTTCATAATTAAGATCGACTTAAGGCAACGAACAAAAGAAATGCTATTTTATCGCAAATGTCATCTAAAATCTAAAATCTAAATACTTCTTGTGTTTGACATCAATATTTGACAAATGAATGATATGTTTAATGAAAGCAACATTTAATTATAATTAAGTTATAGAAAACGCAATCCATTCACGAACTTTACTATTTGTATTTGTATTGTGGTATTGTATTATAATAATGAAATTATAACACAAATAATAGGAAATTAATCTTTTTCGTGTTGCATGTTTTGAACAAATCTATTTTATTTTTAAAAAAAATCGATATTTACTTATAAATACAATTTATAAAGTATTATTATTATTACTGTACATAAACACCTCTTTCATATACTGGCAACAAGTCCATCATATAATAAACATCAATATTTTTCAATTAGTTTTGCAAATGTCATCTCTTTTTATTAAATCTTCAATTGCATACAAAAATAGTTATATTTTATTTGAATTTAATATCTAAAACAGCAAATCTTTAAATTTCTCAAATCTCTTTTATCCAGGATTTCCATGAATTCTCAAATTTTATTAAATGAACTTTTTGTACAAACACTTGAAACCATTTTATTCATAATCCTATCATTTTGTAAAATTTCTCAAATCATGAATCAATTGATTTTTTTTGTAGCTTATTATAAATTGTTTATATCATATTATTCCACTATAATTAGGCAATAACTAAATTTGTATTAAAAACAAAATAGTGATAATGTTCTAGTCAATAATTATATTATTTAATGTGTTTTTAAATTCTTTAAAGGATGATTATTAATAATAGTATATTTAAAACTCACGTATTCTTTGAACTTCATATCTGGATATAAAGAGTAATTTGGCGACAAATCTACAGTGTTGTCAATATTATTATAGTTTCGTTCATTTCGATTGCAAACACACAAGAAATCATATATTGGAAATGGATTTAAAATATATTTATTTATAATATCTTTTCAACTCAATATAAAAAATTTAAGATTTTTTGTATTTTCTTCGAAATATGTTTTCATTTCATATGATATATCATATCATAGTGTCTATCAGATTGAGAGCACAAACTTTTCTATAATGTTTTTACAGTTATATTATTTTTCAAGCGCTAAGAAATAGCATATTATTTACGAAGATTGAGATAATTATTATTTTACTAAACAGTTATATAAATATAATTTTTATAATCTCGGGTAATAAAATTATATAATTTTGTAAACATTGCAAAAAAGTTTAATGTGTTTGCGATGAGAGTGTCTGTCAACGTGCCTCTCGTCACAAAAAGTCATTGATTTTCAAGAAATTTTAATTGTTTTAAATTTATATTAATCGCATTTTGACCTTTTCTAATAATGTGTTATTTCATAGAAAAATAATTAGTACATAACTTGTCATATGAGCTAATGATTACTTAATTATATTTTCGCAAATATTTCGGCAAATAATTGGATTCCGAAAACAAAAAACTTTATTGTTAATTGCATTTGAATTGTAAAAAAGTATTATTTAAACCAAAAAACTGTGCGAAGAATTGTCAGCAATAACCAAATGAATGTAATTCTCCTGACAGTTAACATGTAATACATTTCATACACATTTCTCAAAAGTGACAAAATTTCATTTGTATTTCATTAAAAAAGTTTTTCGTATATATGCTCTAATCGATGAGCTATTGTTTCAATTACTTAAAGTATAATATAATTAATATCAATGGTTTACAATTGGAAAGAAAATAAATATTTTTCAAATATACCTCT